ATGACATTCCTCTGAGTCAAGCAAATATCATACTCCTGTCTTAGTGCCTTTAACCTCAAAATGAGAGGACAGTAATTAGGTTAATTTGGGGTGTGTGCATTAGGTTTAGACACTCCTTAAATGATGAACTTGTCTGCATGAATAGTTGGACAGGAAGACAAATGAGAATTGGCAAAGGCAACAGGTCAAGTGTAGAGTCTGGTCCTGCTTTGAGTTACCCGGGGACATCTGTGGGCTCAAGTGAAGAGTCCGTGCTTCCAGCCTGTGAGTCCTGGGGACACTTTCAGCTCCAAGAAGGATGGGTTGGGGTCTATTCCCAGAAGATCGCATGCAGTTCTATTTTCAGCTTTCTGAGGAGCCCCATAACATTTTATACAGTGATGGCCCCTTCTGGCAGTCCTGCCAGCAATCTATGAATGTTCATTTCCCCACATGCTTGCCAACACTTGTTATTGCCTGTTTTGTTTTATTTTGTTGTTGTTGTTTTGTCTTGTCTTGTTTTTAAGTAATCTCTTTTGGAATCTTCAGCAAACTTGTGGCCACATATAAACACCGCTGTATAGAAATGAAACTTTCACACATACACAAAATGTTTCTATGAGAAAAGACACAGTTAACGCAGCCTAGCTGCTTCCGAATTTGACAAGGATCATTTTCAGTTTCGCACAATCAGCCGACCAATTGCATTACTTTGTTGGGGCTACATTTATGAGACTTGTGGGGCTCTATAGGACTTACTGGAGATGCCAATTCCCAGATACGAGACCCTCCACTATGGAAACTCCAGCATAGGGCGGAGACCATCCATGTTAACTGGTGTTCCCGGTTTGAGCAAACACTGGGCTTAGATCATTAGGCAAAAATCTAAATTGTAATTCAAAATCTTTCTACTGTTGCCAAACAGAAAACCTCTCTGAGGTTTCCAGGGTAACCAGCGGGAGTAAATCTACGATTTTATGCTTTCCACCTTGGTTTTCAGGAATGTATTAGATTAGCGTGATCATAATAAGGCAGGAATGCTAGATCTCTCTGTGTTGGGAGGTTTGTGAAATGAGATATATCAAAGTTGCTTCTAAATAAACAACCCCCTGACAGCAGCCACCCTAACGAGGAGGGCGGTCTTTCCTAGATCTGCAGTTGTCTGAGATATCTGTAGGATTTCCCTCCTTGCAAATACCCAAGCTCCCACAGTCTGCCTTCCTTTGCAGTGGGTCTATAACAAGCCCTAAGATAAAAGGAGAGAAACAAGAGGAGACAAGCCTGGAGGCAGACCTGTAATAAACATTCCCCCACCAGCATGGCAGACTTCTCCCCAACACTCCCATCTACAGCTCCCACCCCCAAGACCCACGTGTCCCTAGTCAGGGCTGCAGAGCCTTGTGAGGAAAATCCTGACATTTTCCTAAAATGGAGAGATCTGGCTTGTGCCTGTTGTGCTGGCTAAATTATTAGCAATAAAGTGATCCTTGTATTGTCCCCCAAACAGTAAAATTAGCAGGAGAGAGAGACAGACAGACAGACATACAGAGACAGAAGAAAATCTCTTAGCTCTGAGGTAGAATGCACAGAGACTTTGTGGAAGTACAGGAGATGATGCCACTCGTGTGGGTGCTGCTGTGGCCTTACAGAGGGGAACATGAGAGAGCATCCCCGAACATGAGAGAGCATCCCCGAGCTTCTGGGAGGGAAGAAAGACAATGTCTGAACGTGAACGTGAACGATTACTTCCACAGAAATTCTGGCCCCAATATTCCTCTCATACTCTGAAGCTCCCCTCACGGTTCTGTCCGCCTTGTACCAGAGTGCCCTCTGCAGGGCAATGAGGCCCAGACCTGAAATTCCAAGGTCTTGCCTTGCCTATTCCCTATGCTGTGCGTAATAAAGCGAGAATAAGGGGGCTGAAGGTTGCTGTAAAACACACACTTAAAATTGTTCAGATATGCTTCTGGCAGTTACTAGACACTCAGGCCTTAAGCTGAAAATACGTGCTGGCTCAAGTTACCCTCACAAATATGTTCCTTTATGTTTACAACCCTTGCAAATATCTTGCTTGCTTGTCCACTCTTTGGAAGGATGTACGAGCGAATCGGCCCTCCCTGCACTCAGTGGGCTCAGCGGGGCTCTGCGGGGCTCTGACAAGGCTAATGTAACACATCATGTAAATCAGTGGAGAAACGAGAGAGTCTGGATGCTTGCCCTCACCACCAGAACCGGGAAAGCTTCTTGTTCCTCAGAGTAGCACATCAATGTTGTGTCACAGTATCTGACACTTGGTTTGTCTTAACATAAACTCTGTGATAAAAAGTGATCAACGGCCTCCTTTTCCCTACCTCCAGTCCAAGCAGATACTCATTTCTCTTTTGAAGAAAGGGGACTGTAAACAAACTTGAACCCGCCAGTTTGAATTTAACTCAACCCAACGCACGCTTGCAGAAGGAATGGATCATCTGCTTAGAGGTCTTTGATTTCATTTCTAGTACTCTTACAAATTAGTAAATTACACTGCTTCTACTTCTGAGTAAACGCTTTATTCTCGCTTCCTTCTCAAAGGCAATGGACTTGCACTTCTGAAAATCAAATATATTGATTTTCAGAAAATATGTACTTCGAGACTAGAAGATGTATGTCTAATCTGTACTGAATACACAGGATATACAATTACATACTCATTCCAATCTTACAGTCCCCCAAAGAAAGCCAAAGTTTCCATCACTTAAATAGGCAGCATATGAAAACATCACTATGGCTTTTATGATTTAACATTTTTTTTTTCTGTTCTGTGGATGTGAATTTAGAAGTATTGATGGAAAGGGTGGGTTTTGTTCATACATGTATATAATGTATTTCAATCATGTTTCCCATCATTATGCTTTCTCTTCACCTCCCTCTGAACTCATTTTCCCCAACCAATCCTCCTCCTGTTTTCATTTCATAAAAAGGAGAAAAGAAAGAAGAAAAGGACTCACTGGGTTTAATTAGGGTTGTTTTCATAAACATGGTTAGATAAGCATGGGTGTGGGAGCAAGGGCAACTTACCATTGGCCGCATCACTGAAGAAGCCCACCCCGACCCCTACCAGCCATTCAGCTTCCCCTCTAGGGCTAGGACCTCCTGAGATCCTCTCCTATTCCTAACAGAAGACAGCTCAATCTTATGCAGGTCTTGCGCAGGTAGCCACAGCTACTGTGAGTTCTTGAACGAAGTGGTTATTACATGAAGTCCTTAACAGTTTGCCCTTGACTTATATCCCATCGCAGTGGGAACATTTATCTCCCCAGCCACAACATGGTGTTTACTTACCTCTCAAAGCTTAACCTACGGATCCAGGTGCTGTTTAGACTTCCTACCCAACTTCAAGCCTGAACAGATTTGTCAATGAAATGGGCCTTTCTGTACTTATGGTTGCAATTCTCAAGCACATCAAAAGCATTGAAAAGGTTGACCCAATGCTTTTATTCTTTCAGTATTGTTTTCCTTGAGCCATGATGTGTATAAGTACCATATCAGTGAGGCAACCACACTCTTAGTAACATCAATGGAATGGAATAGTGGTGCTTAGGAAACCTAAGCTCAGAAACAGTCCTCATTCAGAACATATAACACCAAAACATAAACCACTTTTCTTTCTTTTAAGGGGAAAAGATTAAGAAAGTGATTTTCTTTTAAACAAATAACTAAGGACAGAGAGAGAGGACTCAGCGGGTACCCTGGAAGCTGTATGGAAAGGTGGAGAGAAGACCTGACTCCAGAAGATATATTCTGACCACTGCTCGGGCTCCATGGCATGTGTCCCTCCTATAAAATTAGAATTCAGCCGGGCGGTGGTGGCGCACGCCTTTAATCCCAGCACTCGGGAGGCAGAGGCAGGCGGATCTCTGTGAGTTCGAGGCCAGCCTGGTCTACAGCGCGAGATCCAGGAAAGGCGCAAAACCACACAGAGAAACCCTGTCTCGAAAAACCAAAAAAAAAAAAAAAATTAGAATTCAGACTCTCTTTTGGAAAGTCTTTTTTTTTTTCTTGAGATTTTATTTATTTTTATTTTATGTGTTTGAGTGTTTGCTTACAAGGATGTTAAGTGTACCCTGTACCTGCAGTACTCATGGAGGCCAGCAGAGGGTGACAGATCCCCTGGTTGTAAGCGTTCATAGGGGTGCTAAAAACTAGACCTGGGTCTTCTGGAAGAGCAGTCAGGGCTTTTAACCATTGAATTCTCTCTCCAACCTCAGAAAAACATCTATTATTTCATCTAAATTGCACTTTCTATTTGAACTGAAACTGCAGAGTCATGAGACAGAACACTGATCTGAAGTCTTCTTTCCCATACTGTCCTGACTTGGCTGGAGTGTCAAGATCGTTTGTGTGGGAAAGGTCAACAGTGATTAGAACCTGCTCATCTCAGGCTGTAGCTAGAGTTTTCCTGCCTGACCCACAGTCAGGACAAATCTCTCTCACCTGCCAGTCCCACAGCCATCAGACCCAACCAAGTAAACACAGAGACTTATATTGGTTACAAACTGTATGGCCGTGGCAGGCTTCTTGCTAACTGTTCTTACAGCTTAAATTAATCCATTTCCATTAATCTATACCTTGCCACATGGCTCGTGGCTTACCGGCATCTTCACATGCTGTTTCTCATCATGGCGGCTGACAGTGTCCCTCTGACTCAGCCTTCCACTTCCCAGCTTTATTCTCCTCCTTGTCCCGCCTATACTTCCTGCCTGGCCACTGACCAATCAGTGATTTCTTTATTGACCAATCAACAACACATTTGACATACAGACCATCCCACAGCATCAGGCAGTGTATTTCCCACCGTGATCGTGCAGAACTGACCTACAGCTTTAGAGTTCAGTAATGTTCAAGAGCCGTGTGGACTTGCAACTGTTTTTTTTTAATTGTCTTTAAAAACAATTTTACTGTCTGCTATATTGCTGCCTAGTATGGTTATGTTAAAACGAAATTAAATCACATGACTTACTTTATTTTCTTTTCATTTCAAGGGAAGACGAGGGAAAACAGGACCCCCAGGAAACCCAGGACCTCCAGGACCACCAGTGAGTAAATAGACTATGGTCACGTGCAAAATAAGCATACTCGCTGCCACCTCATTCATTTTATTTCCCTTTATCCATTCAAGGGGTTAGGCTATCAGCAGCACACTGGTGTTGATTAATATTGATTACAAAAAAAACAAAAACAGAACCAACAAAAACAAGAGGGCATGAATTGAATTAGGTAGGATGTTGATTTTTATTGCACTTTTTTTGGCAAAACAGAGAATGCTTTATAAAAATTTCAGTAACTACTTTGTGTTTTGAAGAAGAAAGTGAAGGTGTGCTCACAGGCAAGGGGAAGCCTTCCTGTCATTTCTAACCATTTGGCAAGGCTTCAAGACAAGTGTCTCTGAGAAGGAATTTAGATGATGAAGATGTGTGCACTAAGTGGGCCGAATGCCTGGGGAGAAGATGAAAACGCTGGACTCTGGAGTGAGGTCTCAACTGCTGATAGACACGTTTACTGAAGAGTCAGGAAGATGAAGAAATACGTGACCACGTGAAAGGATTTACAGTTCTCTGTTCCACAGGTTTAGTTTATTGCTACAGTGTTAGGGGGAGGTGTGTGCATATTTTAAGTATTAGCATTTCAATTCAGCTATGGTTCTGATTCAGAGCTCTCGTTAAATCTTGTATTTGGAATAAAAATGGTTTATGAACTTCTTAATATAGTAAAATAGCCAATTTGTTAGACTAAGAAGAAAAGAAAACAGTTATGTAGACTATAAACGGGTTTTATACATAGGTCAGCATTTACTTAAGAAGAAAACGTTGGGCTAAATCATTGGTTCATTTCTGCTTGGTAATTGTGATCTAAGGAAACTGATTTCCCTAAATGACTGAAACCTTTCCTTTCATACACACATCATCCAAACTTCATCTAAAGGTACAGTCAGCCTTCATCACTTTGAGGTTGTCACCATCATAGAATAAACTGATGAACTGTATCTACCCTACCCACAGTGTAGTTGAGGACAGCATTGAAAAGGTACAGTCACTGTACCTTTCTGTCACTGAACACTTACTTTTTCTAAATGTAAAACCCTCCCAAAAGAGAGTTGCTGGTTCCCAAATGATTAGAAATGAAAAGAGTTCTTCAGAATGAATCTTTTCAAGGTCATAATAACTAACATTGTCAATAAATAGCTCATCAAAAAAAATCTAGTTGCACTTAATTCACATTGTTCAAGTGCTTCACAAACATTTATTTAGGGTCCTACTGAGCACTGAACTGGGGCTGGACTTGAAAAACTGAATAAGACACCGTCCTTCCTTTTTTTTTCCCCAAGACAGAGTTTCTCTGTGTAGTTTTGATGCCTGTCCTAGAACTCACTCAGTAGCCCAGGCTGCCCTTGAACCCAGAGATGCACCTGCCTCTGCCTCCCGAGTGCTGGGATTAAAGGTGTGCACCCCCACCACCTGGCTGTCCTTGCTTTTTATGAGGTTCAAGTTCAGGTGAGAGAAATGTGCAGTGAGGAAAAGAATTCAATGGAGATAACACCGTTAGTTTCTTGGAGGAATTTACAGCAAAGAATAAAGATTGAGGCTTGAAAAGTCAAACAAATAGAAGAGGAGAAGGAGCCAGCTGGGTGCCCCCGAGGAAGAAAGACAATGTGAGCCAGCACCCTGAATGTAAAACCTCGGGTGGGTAGAGGTGGGCTCCCTGCCACAGACAGCTGAGGCACAGCCAGAGGTCAACAGGGATGAAGTCAAACCTTCGCAGGGTCCTGGCAAACCTCATGGAAAGCTCTGAAAGTAAACAAAGGCCTAAGCTGGAGAGGACCAAGGCCAGATTTCACTGATGGTCACTCTAGCAACATACTGAGAGCAGATTGCTGAGGGCAAGCGAGACTCACTGTAGCTATTTATTGCTCCTGGAGTCCCTGCAGGATGTTTGGTACCTCCCCTGCCTGCCTGTTTGTGTTTTATTTCCATGTAGAGTGAGAGGGGACTAAGAGCAATCTAGTCTATTTTCAAATAGCTTTTCATCTTTTCTAGCACTGTATTCTGCGTTTCAGGCGCCCTACTTCAGGACAGGGAATAAGGCAGCTAAGAGAATGGGTGGTAGGAGGCTAAAATTCTTCTTCCAGTTGAGATTTGAGATGTTGTGTGACTCATCCCAGTAGCCCAGACTGAGACGTTCCTAAAGCAAGTATGAGAATGCCTTATGGCAAGTTCAACTATAGAAAGGAAACAAAGAAAAATTCAACTTTACCTCTTATCAAATAGCAATTAAGCAATATATCTCTCAAATGAACGAATAGCTGAAATATTTATAACATTATGTTTGGGCAGTTTTTTTTTTAAACTTTAGTCAATTTGAATATTCGAAAGGAACTAAGGAACGAAACAGGAGTCTTCAGGAGGCATTAGGCAAGGCTTCAGTAATAGAGTACTTGACTCAGTGTCCTCAAGAGAACATTCTTCCCTTGCGGGGGTTAGAGGTATTTGCTGAATCAAAGCCATGGTGTTATTTAGGGGAGTGTCAGTGAAGATGAAAGGCATTGGGGAAAGTCTCTGATGGCCTGAGGCAAGGCAAAATAATTAAACTGATTTAGTCCCTCCTTTACCCCAGACTTCTTTGTTCTGAGTCCAAATTGGGCTTCTCTCACCTCCCTAAGAAATTTTTATAGCAAAAGACACATCATTTACAAAGAATAATTTTCTCTGACTTTAGTGTTAGCGGATGAGCTGTGTGTATGTGTGTAAGTGGGCATCTGCGTGCACACAGGCGTAGAAAGGACTATAGCCACAAAGCCATAATAACACATGTTTTAAGAGAATCAAATCTCCTAGGGAAAAGACAAAATTCCAGAAGGAGATTTTGACCATCCTTACTCGCTTTTCTGTTATTGTGATCAATCACTCTGACTAAAGGCCACTGGGGAAGGAAAGGGTTTATTTGGCTTACACATCGAGGCCACACTCAAGGAAAGTCAGGGCAAGAACTCAAGCAGAAACAATAGAGGCATGCTACTTACTGACTCACACCCTGGCTTGCTCAGATAGCTTTTGTATACAGCCCAGACCTGCCTGCCTATGGATGGTACCGCCCACAGTGGGCTTGGATCCTTCCATATCAATCATCAATCAAGACAATCTCTCATAGATATGATCATGGCCAGTCTAAGTGAAGGAATTCTTCAGTTGAAGTTCCCCATTCCCAGGTGACTCTAGGTTGTGTCTAGTTGACAATAATCACTAACCAGGACATTTACTGAATCTATTGAAGAATGTTACTAAGTTATGAGTGCACTGTATCAGTGTCACATAAATTACTACAGATTCACTCACCACAATTCAGTTTTACCATCAGGGAGAACTCATCTTTTCAGGGAAGACTTATTTGTAGTTCATACATGCAATCTGCAGTTGGTTGCCAGGGTTAGCTATGCTCGCTTATGTTGAATATATTCTTAAAATGATTTTTTCATAGTTCCCTATCAAATAGCAAATATATCTATACAAAAGTAAATGCTTCCAAATTTCCTAAATGACTTTTGCCAACTTGTCTGTTTAGTTTTGAGATTATAACATATTTTCCCCTTCCCTTTCCTTCCTTCAAGCGCTCGAATAACCCCTCACTGCTCTCTTTCAAATTCCTGGCCTTCCTTTTCGTTCATTGCTGTTAATATACACATGTGTATGTATATACATATAGATTCCTAACTATAACCTGCTCAGTCTAGAGAGTGTTACTCCTGTGTATACTTCCAGGGCTGATCATTTGGAACTGTATAGCCAATTTGTGTTCTCTTCCCTGGAAAAGGCTATTTTTTACAATTCCCTATGATGCGATGCCTTACTCAGCCTTGACGCAGGGGGGAGGGGCTAGGTCCATCCCCAACATGGTATGACAGCCTGTGACTACCCAAGGGAAGCCTTATCCTCTACAAGGAAGAGATGGGGGTAGGATGGGGGTAGGTGTCGGGGGGAGCGGGAGAAGAGGAGGGAGGGGGAACCGGGTTTGGTATGTTAAAGGAAAGAAATTTTTTTTTTTTTTTGTTTTTTCGAGACAGGGTTTCTCTGTGTAGCTTTGTGCCTTTCCTGGGACTCACTTGGTAGCCCAGGCTGGCCTCGAACTCACAGAGATCCGCCTGGCTCTGCCTCCCGAGTGCTGGGATTAAAGGCGTGCGCCACCACCGCCCGGCAAGAAATTTTTTTAATAAAACATTATATACAAAAGAAAAATGAATATATGGATAAAAAAAGAAAAAGCTATTTTTTGTCAGCCTCCCTTAGGGGCCTGTAGTTCTTTGTGTAGAACTGAGATCTTTCGGTCTTTCCCTGTCCAATTTGACGTGTTTATTGTTGTTGTCCTTGCTCAGCTCCCATTTCAGCAGTCATATCGGTGAGAATTTATGGGTGTAGTTTCTGACATTCTGCAGAGAAACAGTCTCACAACAAACTCCCTGTTCCTCTGGCCTGTGCGGTCTTTCCAGCCCCTCTTCAGCGATGATCCCTGAGCCTCAGTTATAGGAGCTGGATTGCAGATGGGACAGGACTCCATAACTCTGCATTTCTGTAATGGTCTCCATCTGTTGCAAAGAGAAGTTTCCTTGACTACACTTATCAGACCAGATACTGGAAATGGATGTGTGGTATCTGGCTGAGCAGAGAGGTTGGATGTAGTTTAGTGTTTGTTTTTTACCATGCCATAGATGTCGAGCCTGCAAAATCCAAGAACATGGTACAGCCATCTGGTAAGGGCATTCTTGAACAATAGCATGGTGGAGGCACCAAGACTCCTTTCTTCCTCTTACAAAACCACTAATTGTATCATGAGGACCTCACACTCACGGTCCCATCTGATACTAATTACACCCTCAAAAATCCCACCCACCTCTAAATACTGTTAAATATGAATCCCGTGATTAAATTTCCAGTACATAAAATTTGGAGGACTCATTGAACAATAGCAGAAGGAAAGCATTACGTAGAGATACCTTAAATGAATAATACCTTCAGACGTGCTGAGATTATAATTGAGAACAATTTTT